TCTAATACCGCCAGATATTATATTATCACGTTTTTCTAACTCACAAGATATCTTGTGGGAAATGATATTTAATTTATTTACAAAGTTGTATTATAATAGTAACATTGACTAACACGAATGGTATTGTGTCCCGTTTAAATTATTAAAATTCACATTAACAGTCATAAATTTATACTCCTAACAGTCATAAATTTATACTCTCTATCTAATATTAATAAATAAAAAACTTATCTAAATTATTGATATGTATTCCAACAACTCAAATAAAACAAGTATTGAATTCAAATTCACAGAGCCGAGTTATCTTCTTCCTCATAACTTGGTTAGCTTACAGACTTCTTCGATTTTTATTTTCCACAGAGACATGAGAGGTGACAACAATCCCTAAATGGGTTTATGTGTTCGTGCATTTTTTTAGTAAAACTAATATTTGATGAAATTCCAATAAAATTTTGCAGATTCAATGGAACCAATCTGCTCTCAAATTCAAAGGCACGTTTAAAAGAGACATGTATACATGTGTGTGTGTGGCTATTAAATTTATCAATGTAAATTATAAATGTGCAAATATTTATTAATTAATTACACTAATTAATGGAATCTATTATCACAGTAATACAAGTAATTTTAGTGTCATGAAATTCTCGCGATAATTAGAGGAACATGGCTACCTGTCCGTTCCAATCACCATATATATCCATCTAGATGATAAATTTTCGTGGAAATCACTATAAACAAGAAAAAAAAAATTGTCACACACACACACACACACACACATATATGGAGGTGGTAAAATAATGAATAATTGTATGCAATCGTCAGACCAAAAATTAACGCAACAAACGCACTTGAAGTTAAGGAAGCAATAATGATGGTTTTAGGGGCATCAATTATTGGAGGCAGAAAAACAATAGTAGAGCAATGGGAACACAGAGATTGGAATAGTCTAAAGCGAGTCAGAGAGAGTGCTTTTAAAATCAGATTGAATAGTGAATCAGAAATGTTAACGATCCGATTCACATGATCTAATTAAATTGAATTAATAATCAAATCAGTAATATAATAATTAAATTAAAAAATTATGTATGTGTATATATATATATATTTAATAATCTAAAAAATAAATATAAAATTACTTTTTAACTTAAAAATAAAATTAAATATTTTAAATTTATCATAACTTAACAAGCAATTTGATACAATATAATATCAAATCATTAAAAAAAATTTGTTATTTTAAAAAAATAAAAAAGGGATTTTTTTAATAGTTTGATTTTTAAAAACTGGATCCATTTTTCAGCTCGATCATAATTCCCGATCCGACTATCAATTCAAAGTGACGCAATCCGGATCAACTTCTCAAATTATTTTTTTAACTTAACCGAACCGTTAGCCTGATCAGTCAATGGTCAAACTGGTCCAATTGTTCGATTCGTTTCAATTTTTTAATCACTGGCCAAAGAGCACAGAAAATGAGTGTTTTTTGAAATAGAAATAGGAGAGATATCCCCTTATGAAGCACCCAAGGGGCAGATTTCCAAATTTTAATTTTAAATTACTTCAAATAAAACCTTTGGCACGTATTATTAGAATTATATTAGCAATGAAAAGCCAACTCTTTACATCCGACGCAACTTATCTGTTGGTCACTGCCTAATCAAATGAACATAGAGTTGCCCCCAAACAAATAATTAGATGGACCATTAGAAATAGATTATGTTTTGCTATAATCTAGTTTATTAAAAATAGTAATAGTTGGTGTGTAAAATGACAATCATTTTGAAACAGAGCAAGTATAGTTGGATATGATGTGTGAATTCATGTCTTCCCCTCCAGAAAACAGTTTCAGCTTCCACTTATTTCATTGGGTTTAATTACCCAGGGTGCCTCCTAAGTTTTTTGTTGGGTCGGCTATTCATATATTTATTCAAGTAACAAAACTGAATTTCTAACATCACTCTGCTTCCCTATCTAACTTTCTTTTGAAAGTTAGCTGGTTTATGAAAATAATATTTCTCGCTCTTTTATTTGCTGTAAATTTATATTCACAACTTTACATATATTAAGAAATTTGGTCAAAATTCCTTAATTATTTTTATTAATTAGAGGGCGCTGTTTGATTAGTTTAAAAGTTATTTAATTAGTCGTGGCAGAATTAATACTCTGGAGAAAATATTTTATACGAAGGATTATGAGAGAATATCATATAACAAGGAATAAAGGAGTATATTCATTTTTGTTGCAGTTCTTTTGTGCAGTCTTTAAGGTTACTATCCATATTCGGTTTCCGTTAATTGTTACTAAAGTTGGAAAGTTAATTTGATCCAAATATGTTAGGATTCAATGACTTGAATCTTTCTTTTATAATGGATACACTCCTTTCTTACATGACACAGCCAACACAAAAGAGAACAAATGTATTCTCGCTATTTTTTTCTTTTGAGAGAGAGAGTGTGTGTGAACAAACTTGAGGCACATTCATTTGATTGTCATAGTTTTGAGATACGAATTGAGTTGCTTAAGACAGAATGATCAATGATAAAGGGTCTGTTTGATTTCTATTCTCATTTCTTATTTTTAAAAACTATTTTATAATATAATTTTTAAAATTATTTTTTAAACAAAATAAAATGAAAATTCACTTAGTTATGTCAATTGAAAAAAATTTTAAAATTAAAAAATTGATTGACAGTTATGGTTATAGGTAGTTAATAGTAGTAATTAATAATAAAAATTGATCAAGGTAACTTTAATTTTTAACAATTAAATGTAGTGTTTTTTAAAAGTAAAAAAAATTAAAACAACTTAAAGTTGTTTCTATTTTTTATTTTTAAAAATAAAAAATAAAAATAATTTTAAAAACAACTAAATGAAAAACACTTATTCAAATAAATTTTTAATTTTTTTTGTTTTCAAAAACAAAAAACAGTTTTAAAAATAGAAAACAAACAAGCCCTAAATCATTTCCAATTATTTGCATTCAGTGAGAGGTAGGAAATAATGAATTAGTATAATAACCCTTATGCAAAGTTGTTTGTTCTTTTAGGTACCGTTTGATTACCGAAAAAGAATGGATTAAAAAAAAGAGAAAAAAATGAGACAATTAAAAAAGATGATGGACCACATTTATGAAGAAGAAGGGTAATTTAATTTATAAAGTTGACAATCATGATTCATGATATTTTTAGAGGATATAATAATTTTTATATTTATAGTATATATTAATGAGTTTTATCATATTTATTATTAGAAAAAAAAGTGATTTAGTTTATTTTTATATTAATTTTTTAATTTATTTTTAATAACCAAACGTGATGATAATTTGTCACTCTTTTTTTATAAACCTATAAGTGCATGGAAAGAGTTTATTTACGATATGTTTATTCCGTTGAAGTCATGAATTCTAGTACATTTTAGTGAAAAAGCTCTCCAAGCTAGATGAATTGATTTAAATAATCACACTTTTAAATTAGAAATAGTAAGACAGAAATTATTTGTGGCGTCTTATATCTGCTGAGATCTTTGTGAATCAAGAGCACGCATGTAAAACGCAGAAGTAGGTGTAACTGTGCAAGTAGCTAGGGGTATTAATTAATTATGATTAATTAGTTAAATAATAAAAAGAGAACAAAAAGTAGGGGTATATTTGGGTGAGCGGGAAAGGGATGAGAGTAGCCCACAGAATATTACTGTGCAGATTTGAAAGCAACCCCTTCCTTTCTCGATGCTCTCTGTGATTTAGAGAGAGAAAGAGAGGGAAGGAAATGACTATTTACTATTCATTCTCGCTTGCTTCCTAGCTGGCTATATGTATAACCTCACCCTTCCCCTTATCTCTTTCATTATCCTCCTCACCTGGCCTATATTTTATACCAACTATTGCCATTAATAACATTTCCATGTCATTTTTAAATTCAGTTTAGTCTGCCCAAGTTTCATTTTCCTATATTTTTCTTGATAAAAAGATAATATTCTATAAACAAAGAGACTTCTGAGGTGTAGCGTCCTTGGGGGGCAGCTCCATCAGCAGCATGCTTCTATAACATTATGTCCATTCACTGCTAGTTCCCACCAACACTTATTTCTCTGTCTTCTTTCTTCGTTCTTCAAAGGGATATATTTATAACGAAGTTCAGGATAACTCCTCCCACAGTACTATTAGTTTGAAAAATTAAAAATTAAATGAGAGTCATTGGACTAGAGATTGACAATTAATATAATAGGTGATTGTGGGGTTGTCACCATTTAAGAAAAACAATAGGGGCAAACACTATCCATTTCCATGGACCACTAAACAAGCAAAAGAATCCTACAACCACTGTGTATATGCCCTGTTGAAAGAGATTCTTCACAAATCCCATTGCTTTGCTTTGCTTGGGTTTGTTAATAATCATTTCTACAATAATCTTATCATCATCACGACTCTCACTCTCTGCAGCGCTGTAAATGATTGCAAGTGGTTGTTGCTCCCACGGAATATACATATTATATCATCATTCACTTCCTGCCTCCTGCATTCCGGAGAAGTTGCTTTTAAATTCGCCCTGTGGATGCCACTGTGATCATATATATATATATGCTACTAACTTAACACACTTACTTGAAACACCACACTGTGGCCAGTGTGATTAAAATTGATATCAATAATTGTGGTTCCATTTAAGAATTTAATAGGTGGGGAAATAGTATGAATGAAGCAAGTTGGAGAAGAAATTGAAAGGCATTTAGGCATGCCACAGGAGAGGCTTGTGATTGGTGTGTATTTGAGTGAAGGAATAGGAATTTTTCCATTTTTGTGTTGAAGTTGACATGGTTAATAATTTCAGGCGAAAAGGAAGAAAAACTTGCAATATATGAAATGTAAATTCCAAACAGTTTGGGAAATGCAGATCCAGTTTTAACCCTTTGGTACGATCTCACTCAAAGTCATGACATTCTTGTGCGCTTCTACCCTTCGCCCACCAACGCACATTCTCTATAAATATCCCCTCTTCTCTGCACCTTTTCTTCTTCCCATCTCTATGTTCTTCTCTTTTATTCTCCTCTCCCTCCTTCTCTCCTTCCTTCTTTCCCTTCTCAATCTGCTCCTTCTGCTCTTCACTTACCCTCTTTCCTGTTTATCTCTGCCCAGCACACAATGTCTGCTTGCACCAATGAGGATCCCCGTATTCTCGGCATCAAAACTAAGATTCGTGTCGTCCCCAATTTCCCCAAACCTGGTTTGTTTTGTTTCTCACCCTTTTCTTTCCCTGTTTTTTTAATGTTACTCGTGTTAGATTGTGCATCAGTTTCAACGCACAAAGGATATGACCACACGAGCTTCAATATGCCTGCTCTGTTTCTTTGTTGATGGTCATTTTATTTTCCCATGTCTGTTTTTTTTTTCCCATCAATTTCCTTCCGGAAAAGAAACTGCCCTCCGCTTGCAATCTACTTGAGGCTTTCAATTGTCTCTGTTTTGGCATTTAAATTTCTGAACTTTGTGCTGGAGAAGAGGTTCTTGTCATTTTTTCCTAATTTGCTCACTAATGGCGGCAATGGCAGGGATCATGTTCCAAGACATCACTACTCTGTTGCTAGACCCCAAAGCGTTTAAGGACACAATTGACTTGTTCGTTGAACGATACAAAGGCAAAAACATTTCTGTTGTTGCAGGTAAACTCAAAACAAAAAAAAAAAAAGGTGTCCTTTTGGGATGAAAATGTTGAGACCTGCATGAACGAGTTGATGTAAAGCTTTTATTAGTGGGGTTTTTCACTATGGTCAGCCAGAAGGTGGGCGGGTCCATGGTGATGGGAAAGTTGGCCAGAATATGCAGAAACACTGTGTACTGCATGAGTTTCCGGTTGTCTTTTTGAATGGTTCAGAAGGACACGACGGAAGGGAAATGAGGAGTGAATGTGGGTGCGTTTTGGGGAGTGATTTTCAAGTTGACTTGAGTTATTGTTAGTGGGTTGTACCATTGATTGCGTTCTCTAGTTGTCTTGAGCGGCCCTCCTTTCATTTGCTCTTCTCTGCTCTTGGGGGAGCATGTGCTTCGGACCCAATTTGCATGAATGACGATTGGTGATCATTGCCAACTTGTGTCATCCGGACCCACATGCCGCCACTGTCAACTGGGCTTTTTTTTTTTATTTGCTTCCCCATATTTGGGGCCCCTCCCAACTTTCACTGTTTGCTGACTTCAACCTCCGCTTATATTCTCTTTTTGTCGTTCCTTGCTTCCTCCTCCTCCTAGAGTTCGTTTGGATCACTCGATAACTAAACAATTAGGATTGTAACAATGTTCTTTGTGTTGATGGTTCTTTTCATTTGCAGTCCCTAAATTTCCTTATAATTTTGCTCGTGGAATATGTGCTTGAAATTTTGTTGGTGCGAACCTGTAGGCTGGCGCTGGCCCTTCCCTAATCTCATGAGTGAGGCATATCTTTCGATGTTAGTGCTTTGAATGTAGTGTTACAGCACTCTGCTGATGAAGCAAATACGAGAGGGCCCCATTTTACCTTGTCTTTTTCATTGTCGGCCAATCCAATATATAGCCTGTGCCTGTCTACCTTGTGTACAATACTATAATTTCAGCCAGAGCCTTCGGTGCAAAATAATTGCAGCCAGGGCGTTCATTTCCGTTTCACCGTTACTATATGTTCTATTCATACAACGAGTCAGATCACTATTTTGTCCTCTTACATTCGCCTTAGCATCTACCTTCAGGCACTTGTGAGAACTTTTATCGGAACTTTTTTTGGAAATATTTTATTCGATAAGGTTTCAGGTCTCTGCTCGTTGGATTGGTAAACAATCGTTAAAAAAAAAAAAAGAATCTCAAATTTTTATTTTGACAGAGGTCTGATTACATTTAAAAAAACCTCAATTTCGTCATCAAACATTGGCGCACAAGGTGTTTGCTGTCATTCAGCCAAAAAGATTTTGTTACGAGTTACCGTAGGGACTTACGGGGCTCACTGGCGTTAAATCGTCTTAGATGTAAAATCTCCTAATGGGTAATTCCGTTTCAACAGTTAACAGTTTGTAACTTGAGTTAGTTGTGCTAGTTAGTTTGTTACGTCTGCTCGTGTATTTCTCATTCACAGACCTTCCTCGGTATAGATACCATGCCTTTGATTAATGAGAGTGTTCATTTTGCCTCCGTATTATCTGTTTGTATTAAATCGTGTGGTTCTGTCGCGGGGTCTTGAATAATTTGTTTACGCTTCTTACGATCTCTATTCCATGATTAACGTTATGTTAAAAATGCATATAATCCATCATGTCGCGTCATTTGGATCTGAACTCAGAGCGCTGCTTCTTGCTTCTTGTCTGCTCCAATAGTTTGGTGCCTTGGCCATTACTGATTTCAGTTTTGATCTGCACCCTTGGTTTCCCTGATTTTCATTTCTACTTCATGGATAGTCTCGCATCATGGGGCATGCAGTTTGATGTTTCTCTTTGTGTCTTGCTTTGGTTCCATGATTTTTTCTTTTTCCCTTTTTGTTACATGTCCCATGCAATTTGAGTCACATCTTTGTCATGACAACTTGGTACTGAATGGAGCTTGTTCCCTATCTGATGTCACTTAAATGAATTGTTCCCTTTTACTCCATGCCTATAATATTTTTTGCCCTCTTCAATGCTTTCGTATGATGGTATGGGTATTATCCCTTTGAATTATAACTTTACTGCAACATTTATACTTATAAAGCTTTAACTATTTAATTTTTGTTGATCTTCCATTAAAAGTAAAATTAGCGGCCATCTGCTATATTTCATACAGCATACATTGGCTTTCGAATATTTAAAAGTTGATTTGTGCTATTCATTTTCTTACAAAATCTTCCTTAAACGACATCAGTAGCTTTTCTCAGAACAGATAACAAGCTGACTTTAAGTGCTTAAAAATCAATTTTTACTGTTTACTCTGGGCCAACCACTTTCTGTGGTAGTTGTGATTACAGAATGTTACAGTTAAACTATCATTCAGAGAGTAAAGTGGAATTTTCTCCTCGATGAAAAGAATCCTCTCTAGCGCAAGTACAAGAAAAATGATGGTAGCTGTTTGATTTCATGTGCTCTTTCCATTTATGTTTATTCTATTCAATAGTAATAAAAAATAGCAGCATGTGTGTGTATTTTTCTCTCTGGTCTCGTTTGTAAATCACCTGATCTGCAGTGATGAACGCATAATTTGTCTATAACCCTGGGTATGGGTTCTGAGGAGCGAGTTCCTCCTATTGTTTACAGGAGTTGAAGCTCGGGGTTTTATATTTGGCCCTCCCATTGCACTGGCAATAGGAGCCAAGTTTGTACCTTTGAGGAAACCGAAGAAGTTGCCAGGTAAGTCTTCACCTCTTCGCTTAATCCATTTCTTGTTTTCCCAAATAGCTCTTAAATGCTCTATTCCTTTAATGCTGCTGTAATTTTCTTAATAACATTGCTAAATTTTGTTAAACTAGTTGAAATTGATCAAGGATTGTTCAATGGAACGTGTTGAAATCTGTTACACCACAATTTGAACCATAAGCTACTGACATGAGAAAAATTCTTTGTGGGTGTGCATTCTTCATTTACTTCTTGCAGTTGTCAATTAAATTATGTATTGCCGATGACTTTTCTTTTACAGTTACACTGGAGATAACACCATAATTTGAACCATAACCTACATCTTACAGTTACACTGGAGATAACACCATAATTTGAACCATAACCTACATGAAATGAGAAAAGTCTTTGTGGATCTGCATTCTTCTGTTACTTCTTGCTGTTATGGATTAGACTGTGTATCCTGCATGCTGGTGACTTGTGTTTTTCAGTTGCATAGTAGATATACGCCTTGAGGAATAGGGAGTAGGGAAGGCTTGACCAGTATTTTTCAATTACTATGGGGTCTTGTATTTCCCTATATTTCCTTTGGAGCTCTTTATTGTGAAATTTTTGATGCAATATGCCCTGCTGTTACTTGGGTTTTCATGTTGGCACTAACCATAGAGAAATTACTTTTCATTTTTTTTCTTTAAAGGGTGCCGTGTTCAAGCAGGTAGCAATTGGCAGATGTTACCAGAGCTCTATTTAGAAAAAAGTTCACTTGGAACATCTTACAGACTGAGGCTGGTTTCATTTAGAACATTAGTTTGTTGGTTGTTGTATGTGATTTTTATTTATAGCGAAGAAAACTTACATATATATATATATATTTTAAAGAAGGAAGTAAAGAACTGCTTCAGTAAAGCTTAAAATAGTAATACTTTAAATGTGATTCAGTAAGTTACCAAGTCAAGAATATTTGAAAATCCTTTCAAGAGTCGGTGGTGTTTCTTAGTTCTACCTTTATTTGGGCTGGACATTGAGGTGTTGATTGAGATAGTTATCATATCATACCCTTTGTTCCTTTTATGATTTTAGGCCTGACAGAACTGAGAGTCTGTATTGACAAAAGTTTGGTCCAATGGCAGGGAAAGTTATTTCTCAGGACTACATATTGGAATATGGAAGGGACTGCCTTGAGATGCATGTTGGAGCTGTTGAGCCTGGTGAGCGTGCTTTAGTAGTTGATGATTTGATTGCTACTGGTGGAACGCTCAGTGCAGCAATGGACTTACTAGGTAAGTGACTTTGACAGTTGTAGTATCATTCAGAAATGGTGATCTGATCTCAGAACAGGCTATTCTCCTACATGATGGTGCTCCAATTAGATAGGACTCTAACCAAATAGCTTGCACGGGGGCCTCAGCTCTCCTACGCAGCCTTTGTGTGCTTGTTTTCCGAAACTTGAAGATGGGCTGCTATTTGGCTGCTAATTTTTATTCGTCTCATCTTATTTATAAATTAATTTAAACTTATTTTATTAAAATTAAGAAAAACTTTAAAATTCATTTAACTCTATTCATAAATTTAATAATATTTTAACTTTATCCATGTTAAATATAAATAATTTAATAACTTATTTTATCTTTCCAAATTTAATGGAGAGTAAATGAGAAAATTTTTTATAAAAATTTAATGAAGTAATTTATAGATAGAACAAAAAAAAAAAAATCTTCTCTCTTTGTAGAGGGAGTACATTGATCTTGTGGGCCAGTTATCATGAATGAGCATAAATGAATTGGGGTGACTTGTGTCTTTATATCTATTGTGTGTTGAAACTCAATTGATTAATTATATATAGAATTATAATTTTGAAAAGACAAGAAATGGCACTCTTGTATTGGATATGCATCCAAGTGTCTATATAGCAGGTCTAATTCCTCAAAATAGTTTGTTTCTATGGATTAGGGTCTCAAATGTTATTTTATGTCAACAAGCCACTATGTTTTTTCCTGTTTGTTTTTTCACGGCTGCTAATGCCTAGGTATATAATTGTTGTTCTTTGTTGGGTTCAGAACGTGTTGGAGCAGAAGTAGTTGAATGTGCATGTGTAATTGAATTACCAGAATTGAAGGTATGTACACTCTGGTTTTCCCGGACTCTGTCGTAGAAACCAGATGTCGTCCATGTCCATCTGCTTTTGGTATTTCACAGTGGGAGTATTCTACGGTGACAGGAATAACTGCTGTTTATGTTTATGATGGCTCTGCTTGAAGCCAAGAAGCCTCTTGTGTTAATTATGTTTCTGAATGTGACAGGGTCGTGAACGGCTGAACGGGAAGCCCTTACACGTGTTGGTTGAGTATTACTAGTCATTTAAAGATACAAGCAAAGGTGGCTAAAGCATGATAAAACTGAAGGGATACACATTAAAGGGAATGTAATGTTACTTTATAATGCTACTGCTGCTTCTCATTCGGAATCCAATCTATATGCAGCTCCCTTCCCCTGAATATGTATATTTTTGTTTCCCTCGTTTTTTCTTTCAACGATTATTGAGTTTGAAAGGGGTGGTCAAAGAGACCCAGATGGTGCTTTGTCTGAGTAGCACAAGCAGTTTTTGGGACGCCAGCAGGGGCAAAAGCTTTGTGGTACAACTGAATACTTTTGAAATTAATGAACTTGTAGAACCCATCCTTTCCCAGTAGCAGTAGTGGTGGTGACTCTTTATGTGGTGTGATGCACTTTGGAAAAAGGAGACAGAGAATAAAGAAACGTAACCAGGGATAATGAAGTCCGCTTTGATTCTTCATTTGCGCGTAATTTTGTTTTTCTTGCCACGCAAGTCTAGTTCAGCACCCTACTTGCGTAACTTGCGCTATACTACCTTTCTCATTTTCGCAATTCTGCGGCTCTTCAAGTTCACGGTGGGACCCTCTCTCACTCACTATTTTATATCACGTCTCTCCTTTCTTTTCAGCCGAATCTTTCGAACCGTAGCTTTTCTCCACTCTGTTGTATAATTTCTTCATGAAAATAAGAGAGAATCAAGGAAAAGTTAAACATGTTTGAAATGAACATGTATAAGAAGAAACAAAACAGCAAATATTGCCTTCAGATTTAGGGAAAACAAGGGTTACTGGTTTACTGCCATTCATGCTATTCTTGCGTCGGACGATCATTGTCTTGCCATTGTAACAGGACAAATACATTGGATTCTGACCTGCGTTGTCGAGCTTTGGGACTGGACACAAATTTGATTGCATCTAAAATTCACCTTATTTCGGCTCGTTTAAAAAAACAATTTGAGGTATAATAATTTTAATCAGCATGCATCAACCCGATTTCCTCATACTTACACAAACACGTAGTAACTAAACAGGAAGGCACTGGGAGAACTGGTGTGGATAAATGCAGGCCGAAGGTTCAAGACCTCAACTTCCATACATTCCCCGTAAAAAAATAAAAATAAAAAAGGATGGTAAAAATCATTTCCTTTTCATTTTTTACAATTTATATATGATGAGAAAACATGGTAATACGGCACGCGAATCAAACACGAACAACTCGCCTTCGTCCCCACTCACCGAGTCCACCGCCACTCGACCATCCAACAAAGAGTCCATGAACCCTATTTGCTTGGAGACCCGGCCCGCAATGACCCGGCACACCATCATGGCTCTTCTACCCCGCCCCCCGCCGCCGCTTTCATGGGCTTCTCCGCTGCTGGAGAACGTCCGAATCGCGGAACCTTTCCCACCTGGCAACGACCATGCACAACCTCCTCCTCCCCCGCTGGCATCGTAGGGGCCACCTCCCGACGTGGGACCTAAACATTGAAACCTCATCACCTCATTCCCATCCGCCACGCACCGTGCATTCTCCTCCCAATTACTCCCCTCGGTCAGAGCGCCCGAACCGGCGCGACGCTTCACCGTGTCGCGATATTCTTCAAACCGGGACACCGTTCTGCAGGCGTTGACAACCTTGAAAATCATCTCGATTTGACCCATAAACGCTTTGGGACCCCAGCTAGTATGGAAGATAATCTCCACAACGTTGCGCGATGGATGTCCCTCGGGAAGCTCCGTCAGGGACGGAAGGAATGGCTCGGGTGCACGGGTTGGCCGGGTGGAAGAGACACTGCGGGTTATGGTTGTAGGGTTGGAAGGGCTTTCTGGTTTTGTGGTTCGAGGATATTTTGAACTGGGGTGCTTCTCAAGGGGTGGCTTGGGTTTTTTGGGCTTAGGCTTGGCGCTGTCGACCACGTCTTTAATGTTTTGGACGCTTTTTCTGCAACTCGCACTGGGTATAAGAATTTTTGGGGTAGGATGATAAACGTCTTCGAACGCTCTTGACTTGCACTGCAACGATTTAACCCACCCGCTCGCCATTGAGATAACTCAGTCTCCTCAAAACTCCTGCCTATACTCTACTATGAAGCTAGATTCCGCTCTCTCTCTCTCTCTCTCGTTTAGACTTTTTGTAGCTGTTGGTATCGTTTGGTCGGAGCTCCCAGGCTGCACTGCAGAAGAAAGGCGAGGAGAGAAGAAAGGGCGCGGAAGAGAGGTGGCGCAATTTATCAGATAATAAATGGATTTTAACCCGTATGCAGATTGAAAGTACGGATTTGCCCTCGGGGAGATTTCGGAATTACCCACGTGGATTCAATTTGGTCTTCATGGGAGGGAGACACGGTCCGAGACGAGGGTAACAAATTCCATTGATTTTTTTTTTTAAAGAAATAATAACATCATGTGAAGGTGGGAGGAGTTTATATAGCGTGTAGTGCGTCACACGGGATTTCATGGACTACCGCGATTTATTTTTTGATCCCGCCTTGCCTGATACTCCGTCTGGTCCTATTTTATAGGACGGGAAGAGAATTTTATTACATTTTTATTATGAAATTTTTTATTTGACCTTCATTAAATATTGAAAAAAAATACATTGTTAAAAATTTATATATTTAATAAAAATAAAGTTAAAAAATTATTAAATTTTTAAACAGAGTTAAAAAGTTTTAAAATTTTTTTTAGTTATATAGGATTTGAATAGTAATAATTCGCATCTGACGCGACTTTCGTAACTTTCTCATTATCATTGACATTGAAATATTAATGCCCATTTTACTTCAACTAGCAGTTTTATGTTTGGGAATATTTCAATTAACAGTTTAAAGTAGCACCGTAGTAGTATTTTAAATGTGGTATGTTCTTACCAACCGCATGCTGCGTCTTTAATTATTTGCTTTGCTTTGGCGTTATGAACTGGGAAGTCAATGGGTTTTTGCTTTGCTTGAATAAACTGAATTGCTTGTCTCTTTCCAAGGGTGAGTGACCCTGACGACAACATTTTCTGATTCGTTTTGACAGTTTGATTACGTAATTTTAACTTCTGATCCACTGGCATTTTCACATTTCCATTTTTTTTCCCCTTTCGTCAGTTATCAAATTTTCTATAAAACTGATTTCATGGAACGGAACGCAACTCGTAAAAAATGTAGTGTGATGTGAAGTCCTCAAGACTCAAGAAATAGACATAGGACAAGGAGAAGAGCTAAAATTGGATATATAGTGACAGGATATCGATTAGCAATTCCAGAGAGTTTTATTGAATATCTTAGTTGAAAGAGAGAGAAAGAGGAAATGGGTGGGTTTAATATAGCTGGGTAAATAAAGTGAAGTCGTTTTCTAATAAAAGCAATGGCCTGCCAAGGCTGATGACCCAGCTGGAGCTGGGTGCTTGAAAACAAAGCAACCATTTAGTAAGTGTGCAGGGTTTTGCCTCGTGAGGTTGAAGTTTCAATCAAAGTAGTAAAGCCAGATGTTTTGCTTTTCCTCCTACTCTCTTTCTTTTACCCAACATGCATATCCCATCCAGTCTTACCATTTTTCACTAGATTCGAAATAAACACATGGGTTTTTTGGTCATCAAGCTAATTTTGTTGGGTTATATTTTCTATTGCTCAGTCTACCAAGCCGAAAGCAAGGTGGGTGGAAAGATTCTTTCATGGGAGTTTGAAGTGGGAACTGTTGGGGGAATAGAAGAATGGGAAGAGAACGGAAACTGTCAGAGGATAACGCATGTAAACAAAAAGCACTGAAATTTGAACTAGAAAAACGACAAGTTTTCTTCCACTTCCTTTCCGTCGTTTTAGGCTCCACCTCCTCCAACGAAGCCTGTTCTAGGTGCCAAGTCGCTGTACGTACAAGTTGAAGAACCAACTCTTCCGTTCAAAGGGGGGACAATTACCTTGAGATAATCAAAATACAATGTTATAATAATATTATTAGTATTAATTTGAGGTGTCATAATTGCCTAACAGTAACGAACAGAGGAATGGTCCAAAAGCTTGAGAATTTGCGCCCTGGGGGATACGGAATGCCCTGAACCTGATGAGCATTAAGGGCAACTTAAAGCACTAAAATTTCAAACCCAGACAACATTGGTTAAACTAATGATTCTTTTTAGAGATTAAACTCATTAATCAAAAGAAGTGCAGAAAAAGTAAAATGTGAAAGCATAGTGGGCTCAGGCTTTCAGAGGAATTAAGTTGGGGTTGCCAAATATTGCCAGCCTTTCCTCTCACGCCTGCGATTTCCATTGGATCGGAGCCCCGGGAATAGCGAACCTGCGAGCATGCTTCCCTTACTCAACCTCAACCAACTGCAAAATCATATCTGATTATATTCTATTATGTCGGGAGGCTTTTTTAATTTATTTTTATTTTTTAAAAAAATGTGGGTGTTCAAATGACGAATCCTTGCTAAACAGAAAAAGCTTCTGAAAGAATTTAATTCGTGATGGAGATAAGACAATGAGTGCACTGAAGTTGGGACAGTAAATTGATTGTCTCGGTAAAAAGGTTTGACAATCAACAAGATTTGGTTGGCATCTTGTTGATGAACCCCCGATCATGGTGTTTCGGCTTTGAATAGATTCAAATTCCAGCGGGGAGGGATATGAAAACGCCACCAGATCTAGGCGCTGGAAGAAAGTTTGTCTTTTGTTTAAAGAAATGCAAAATCATGATTTTCTTGTTAATCCTATTATGCCATATTTGTTTTCAAATGTGCATATTTTTCGTTGTCAAACTCGTCTGTGGAATTTATGATGACACTCTTCTCTCCTTAATTTGTGGACTGCTCCACGTTCAACAACCTTGCGACACAGACAAATCACAGAGGGGAAAAAATGAAAATAATAAAATAATGACATAAAAAAAAAAAGCCAAAAAGCTCAGGAGTCTTGACTTTGACTCATGTCTGTTTGCCATATGTAAGAGAGATGATTTGTATTGTTGAGACTACCGTGTCTAGTTTTGATCACGCGGGGGCAATTATTAAATAATATTTGGAGGGAAAATGAGTTCCAACCAGTAAGGGTGTTCGAGGATTTAATTTTTATTTGATTTTGGACAAAATTTAAACCAAAAGGATTTAGAGGTTGGAAATCGAACCACACAAATCAGTTTAAAAATGTCAACAACCAAATCAAATCTTATTAGTGGTCATGTTTGGTTGGTTTTAATAGTTTGTTTTGCTGATACAGTTCAGTATGATTAATTAGTTTAGTTTGGCTCTGAACATCCTTGCCTGTTAGTGTTATTTTGTCAAAGCGAGTAGTGTAGATCAGATCAGCCTGCGCTTTTATGCGAGTGATTTTCGGATGTTTTCCACATTAATTGATTTCCCCAACTACGCCTTCCTTCTCATTACTAGTAGCTCGCGCAACAACAATGATGATGCGTACTACTAGGCAGTGAGGACCCACATTCACACCGTCTGCTTTCTGCAAAGCGCAATGCGCTTCTATAAAAGTCTAATGCTACTGTTACTAAACCATCACAAATCCAATTAGCCAAGTGTTAGCCCAAAATTACAACAACAATAATAATAATTGAAACCTCAAACACTCATTATGTACTAGGAACCTCGCAATTTATAGGCCCGTGTAAGCAGATGTAGACATACCTCCCTGAGCTAAAGCGCCTGCATTAAGATTATGCTCTCTGAGTGTATTAAAGCTGAACATTCTGGTGGAAGGCATAAAACGGCTAATCTCCGCAAAAATAAGATCAAAGGTATCTTCTGATGTTGAAGCATCCTTTCGCATCTCAATAATGGGTTTTGAAATAGATGCCAAAATAATAATACTTCTTTGTTTGATAATGCAAAATAATATACTTCTGAATCCCATTTCCCAAACTAAGCAGAGACCCTTGAGCATGGCCCACTCTTCATGCCTGCTGTCTGTCGAAGTCGAACATCCGACCCACAAGGAAAAGAACGGAAGACGACAAGCCCGGTTCTTTTTTAAACGAGAAGCCCATTTCTAATTTCTTCCATCCGTTTATTTGGGCCTTGTTTGGGCTCGTGACTTTTTTACGAGTCCCGAAGGACTAGTTAAGAAAGGAGTCTTATATAAAAAAAAAATAGTTACAAAACGGCGTCGTTGTCGATCCCTGATCTTTGTTTGGATGCCTCCTCTGCTCCACCGCTATCTTCCACTGTAGGAACAGGCGCGGTGACGCCATGGGTCATCAACCACCGAAGTCCACAGCGCCACCACTCCTCCGCCCCTTGGTCGCTTTGGATGCTACAATCTCTACTTCTCTTCACACACTCACAAGATCTATCACCCCGAGATCACTTCTTTTGCTTCTGGAATTCTTAGCCGACTTCCGCTTCACCTTCCCTGTCCTCCTCTCCTTCTTCTTCGTCACTCCGCCATCCTCTCCTTTACGCTCCCACTTGCTCTCGCCCCTCCTCCTTTGCTCCCTCGTTGACCTCCTCTTTATCGCCCTTGTCAAGTTCCTCGTCCACAGATCCCGTCCTCTCTATGGCAACCACGATGAGTACAACGCCGTCGTTTCCGTCGACCATTTCTCCTTTCCCAGTGGGCATTCTTCCAGGGCTTTCTTTATTGCCTCCCTCTTTCACTTTTCTCGGCTTTCCATTCTCAACTCCCTGCCCGATCTGAAATCCCGTGCTCCTCCTGCTGTCACTTCCTTCTTGCGTTGGTGGATTGGTCAAGATGACATTGTGGCCGTCAATCTCTTCCTTCTCCTTGTTTGGACATGGGCGGTTGCCACTGCATTCTCCAGGATAACTCTTGGGAGACATTATGTTCTCGATATCTTCGTCGGCGCGTGTTTGGGTGTGCTTGAAGCTCTTTTCACTCTCCGATTTCTTAGGTTTCAATTATTAAACTGAGGTATGATCCAAGCGCTCTTTCAGTGCTTATTATTGAGTGCAAAATAGGGACGAGGGGGGGTGCGCAAGTGTTATGTGAATTTGGTAAAAAATTAACTTCTTTTTTTAAATGCTACATGTTTGATGTATTGCATGGCTGTGTATTTATAAATGTTGGGATTGACGTGCCAATATAACACAACTTGGGTCGGGAGACTGCACTAGGTCCTGTTATCCTTACTTACCAAATCGATGTCTTCTATGAATTGTATGAGCTGTTGTGGCTTTCTTCAATGCAAGGGAGTTCAGTATTGATACTGCGCGTCTGATGCAGTCATCTGCTCCATGCATCTTTAAATTCTGCTAGTTGAAGAACAATGTTTTTCCCTGTTTGATCATGATTTTCTCTTTTTTTGGTTTCACCTAGTTACTCTACTAACTAAGCCATAATCAACCACTGTCTGAACTGACAAGTTTTGCTTTTCACTGGAAAAGTTGATTGTGTAACATGCTAATATTATTTGCTGTGTGTGTAATTGAAGAACGAATTCATTTGGAAGAATACAAGACGTCTATTTCAATTTAGTTATTTTAATTACCATTGCTGATTTTCAATTTTATTTTCTTTCCTTGCCATTTAGCCCCCAATTTCCTTCCATCATCATTTATGTTTTACGTGACTTTTGTGTGGCCGGTGCTCTCCCTGTTCTGCATCAAGACCATTCTAATCTTGACCTTGAAATTTTCTTTTACTTGTCCTCGTATTTGGGATTGCAGTAAATGATTTGCACCTTTCCGGAGCTCCGCGTTAATGAGAATGGCGTTGCCATGGAAATAACAGGGGAGGAAGCTTGAAGAAAAGGATTTCCTTCTCTATTTGAAGTCTAGAAGTAATAATAAAAACCAGCCTTTCTCTGTTGGCTTGGCTTGTTGGATTATATGTAAAATTAGCTCGACATTGGCAACTATCCTCCCATTAGCATTTGGGAAGGAAGGTCTTTAGTTCTAATTCTGTGACATCTCTTGTCTGAACATTCATTCTCTGGAAGCCTTTGCATAAATTGATACCTCTACAATTTGCAATATTAATAATGTTCTAGGTTCTCGTGGAGCACAATGATCCCATGCAGCCCAGGGGGATGGATTCTTTCTAACTTGTCCTGAATGGATATTGGAGAAGAGCATTTTGATATTGGTACGTGTATTGGATCTTACGGTTAACATAATGCGAAGACATGTTTAAGCTGGTTAGATATCAATCTTTGACAATTGCTTTTGGCCTCGCGGTTATGTTTTTATATTACCTTTCTCCGATCTGTACACGCATTCAGATGATTGTAGACATATATTATTAGCTTCAATGGTACACCAGAACTGTACATAATTTCTATATTTTTTTTGTCCATTGTTCCATCCAAATTATAGAATTTATAATGACAGGAATAATAATTTCTTTATACCTAGTGAAAGTAGCTGCTGTCAGAGGGTTTTCAAATTTTGCAGACACTGATGCAAAGACAAATTAGATTATCTCTTTGTTGATGATCTGGGGTTCCTTTTTATGTTTTTAGATAATATGCGATCTTACCATGTGATAAGATTTATCATGTTATAAGATATTGTGGTTGATTGATGATTGATTACTCTTTTTTCCCCCCATTTCAATCTTGAAAACGATCCATGGTTGTTAAATTAGTTGCCAAAGGTGGCTCTTATGGTGTGCTGGCATCATGATAGTTAGGTTGTGGTCCTTGTGGATATGTGGAAGACATCAAGAGAAAAGAGTCAAATTAAGTCGTTTTCGGATTTAGTGAGTTGACAGGCGGTGATCTATTCCTACAGCCACGGAGTATATTCGAAGGATCTCAATTTGGAAGATGCTTTTTTTCTTGGTGCCTTTTCTGCATTCACGTTCAAGTTCTGAAATTATCAGTTGATTGAGATTGCATATGCTTGCCTCGAGGAAGGCCCATATTCTTGGTAGTTGGCGGGGGAAATCACCAAGGGACCTACTACGGACTTGAACCTTCTTTAAGCACTGTATTTTCATTTTCCAAATGACTAGCCGGAATATGGCTTCCTGCAAAATGCAAAGCGCCAAATTGTGCAACAAATTGTTTGCTCTTGGCACCGGTGAGTCTTGAAATGAGGGGTCGTCATTTCTATTGTCAGTTTAAAATCACTAGAATGAATTGAATTTAAGATTTGAGAAGCATAACACCGCCACCAATCCCATCAGCTTAACGGCTACTTTGTTACCAAAAAAAATTCGCTTCGCATTTCGGTAGTGCGTCCTTCTCAAAACTTACCTAGTGCTCTTCATGCTCATTCCAAATCCATGTCCGAATTCCTCATAAGTTGTTCGGTCCTGTTACTAGGATATTTTTAATTTTTTTAAAAAAGCTTTTTGGTCTGTGCACGTCTTGGTCTTGCAGGAGTTAGTCATGGGAGTCTTGGTTTATCAAGGTTAGGGTAGTTTTGTGATGGGGCAGTGTGCAGTGGTGTTTCGTCGTGTGCATGCTTGTCAGTTTTGGTTTGCTTGAAAACCGATTTGTGAGAAATGGGACAAATGCGAGTGGAAAGCAGGTATGATGAATCCCCGTCGTCCAACTAATTAGTGTGGCTTTGATAATATGTAACTTAACGGCCATCAAATTCACTCGTACAGCACTTGCATTGGCGAGGCGTGAACTTTGGAGTATAAACAAAATGGTGAGCCTCCAAAAGCGTTTGGGAGGCCGGTCAAGGTTTCTAAAGGATAACTTATGAATTGGATTTAAGAAGTTTGAACTAGAGGTGAGAATGAGGGTGAATCCGATCCTTAAAAGTTCAAACTTTAAAGTTCAGTTATTCAAAATTTGATTTAATCTTAAAGCCCAACTCTTATTTACAGAGCTCAAGATTGGATTCTTAAACCCTCTTTTCAAAAAAAAAAAATTTAATTTAAACAAAATATTTTAAAATTTAACATAAAATAAATTAAAGATTCACATAAAATTTGATAAAGATTTAAAATTTTAAATTTCAAATGAAGATTAAAATCTTCATCAATGTAAATCTAAATCTTCCTTCTTATCATGTAAGAATAAAATATTAAATTTTTTAGACGTAGATCCACTTGTTAAAGATAAAGCTGGAGATTTAATGTTAATTATCTCTGTAACTTTTTCTTTATCACTTATAATAAATATTAACCAAATTGTATCATTATTAATCAAATATATATATATATATGTATGTTTATATATTTGTATAAAAACCTAGCTTATTAGGGTTAGGTCTTTAAATCCAGTTATTTTAAAAAAAATTAATTTTTAAAACTTGAACCTCTTATTTAAACAGTGTCTTTAGGTCTGATCTTTATTTCCAACTCTAGCTTGAACAAAATGATGAACAAGTCAGATAGTAGGCTTGTAAATTGTGACTGCAGCCCCAGAAAGTGATGCCAAGTGCCAACCATCTCCATGTGATGGTTGGGCCGTACAAAATATTTTGGTAGTTTCTGGGATTTTGCAGCAATTTAAAATGACCTTAGACGGTTGGACCTTTGGTCATGACCTCAGATTCTGACTCTCAGGATCGGGGGACCTATTTTGTAAAAGATGTAGAGGACCACTTTTCCCAATTGGATGTCGAAGGCGTTGCTTCTGGATTTTCCATGTCTTTCTAGGTTAGCCTTGCACAGAGTCTTCTCACTGGCGGATACAGAGGACCTGGGCAGAGGAACTGAGGAGAGATATAGTACTGACACCTTCTGCAACTATAAAACCATACGAGATTTACTTGACACCAGGCGAAGAGGGTATATTATTTGATCCTCTGTCTCTTTACCCCACCCCACTGCTGATCATATCTGGTATTGACCCTCCTCTTCTTATATTCCTCCCCGGCGCCCCCTATATAATTTTTATATTTACATCAGTGAACTCTGAAGTGAGCTTGCTTTCACTGATTCCTCTGCACTAATACAACAAACTCGATAAGGAATGCCGTTGCAGCAGTACGTCCCTTCATTATTGCATGTCATGAAGGAGCCTCAATTATATGACACGGATGACAGAATTGCTGTCGTGGGCCTCGGGGCTAGCCAAGGACATGAGCATCACGCCAAACACTCAAAATCAGGGAGACCGTGTGTCTCTGTGTGCGTGCGCCTATGCGTGTGTGGGACTAGAGATAAACAGATACATAGGTGAGTGCCCATCTTGAAATATATAGTACTTTGCAACTGAACTCTAATTGATTATGTGGTTGATGCCACGTTAAGTTCAATACCTTCCTCTTCAAGACTCCATGTTTTATTTGCCATGCTGGGATATTAGACCAACTGTTGAACCACAAGAAGATCAAACTTATCAGAAAAGAATTAGATTAAAGGAAAAGGAGAGAGGCTGTCCCTACACGACCGTTCCATATTTGTCAGTATAGCTAAGGCTAAATTCAGTCAGTGGGCAAGGATATAAGCAGAAGGAAGGGCCATTATAAGACCCACATGCTGAAATGTACGATCATGTTCCCTTGTTTGACGACTTAATTGGAGGTACACAGACAGAAAAATGCAATTATAAATCAAGCTCTCACCCAGTCATGCAACCACACATGTGTGCTCACCTTGCCGTCCCAGCACCAATCTTAATTGGTCAAGCCACCTAATCACCATCTCAGTTCTTCAATCCACGCCATAAATTCCGTATCAATCCTTTAACAAAATCTCGACCGAAAGTGACAAGGCATATCCCGTATGTTAATACATTCACCTAGGAATTGATTGTTGAGGACTAATTAGGTTTGATCTTAGGTTGTCAAAGCCTAGGGACAAACATTGGATTCCCCAGCTAGCGAGGGAGTTGAAAGAGGTATGCATTTTTTATAATGAAGTGTTTCCTCGGAAGAATGGTGTGTGTGTGTGGCATGGGCAGGCACATGCTGTGCTGGCTAGCTAGACGCGTTTAATTTGATTGTTGATGAAGATAATTTGAAATGAAAAGGAAAGCACGGAAATGTCGGGGTTGGACATGAGGAGCTGTGGGAGGGGCCGGCTGTTACTGCTTCCTAGCGCTTCGATGAGTTGTTTCCCATCTGGAAGTTTGGTGCCTCGGAGGGAAGTTGCTCATTGTTCAGCACTTTCTCACAAACACAGATTTGACTCTTTCCTTTCAGAATTTGCATTGTTACCCTTCTTTTGTCTTAATATCTATGTACATTTCATCTCTCCAAATTCTGTTTTGGGACCATCATGCAACCTCCCGCGTTATATCTGTCAACAGATTTCGGTTCTGTGCGCGAAAAATTCTATCCTATGATCATGCGTAAGAGACATGGCTTTAAATTAATTTGAAGTAATATTGTGGGAGTGGATTAGCGTTTCCGTGAAGAGAGAGAGGACTAATTGGAAGGTGGATCTCATTCACCCGGCAAGAAAGCTAACTTGTTACTACCTCCTCTGCAGCCACTGGTTGGACCATTGAGACCTTCTCTCCCCCACTGGCAATAATATAACACGTGCACAGTTACTTCACCCGAGAGAGAGATTCAAGATGAAGGTGAAAACAATTTGCATGAAAAAGAACTTTTTTTTTTTTAGAAAAATAACGGAGTAGTATATAACCATCCGAGTGTTTTTTTTTTTAAAGCTAATTAACATAATTGTATCATTCTTTCCGACTTGTCAAAAAAACAAAAACAAAAAAAGAAAAATTCTACCAAATTATAATTAGAGGTTGAAATCAAAATTGTATTAAATTAATTGACTGTATAAAAGATTGGGTGCAGGAGATATTTCTGAAGTTTTATGATTCACAAGTCACCATCAGAAGAAATAGAAATGTGGGTCACATTTATTAAGTTTAAAAAATTAATTAACCGAACGTTGTACGTTTAAGCCTTGAGGTTTTAGAAAAGTAGTAGGCCATTTCTTTTAAAAAGATGTTGAGAAAAGTGAGGATTTTTTAAATTTCTATTTATTTCCACAACTAAATACAAGTTTTATCATTTTTATATACTACATTAATCTTAATAAATAAGTTGTATCATTTTTAACTTCCTAAGCATTATCAGATTCAAAAGACAGTTCGCTTAACAATATTTTTTACATTGAAACGGAGTTAAATTTAAAATATTATAGTACTTAAGATGATAGTCTCGTTTACTAAGAGCACTTGAGAACAACAACAACAACAACAACAACAACAACAACAACAACAACAACAACAACAACAACAACAACAACAACAACAAGTCTTTATCCCACTAGGTGGGGTCGGCTATATGGATTGCAAGACGCCATTGTGCTCTATCATTTATCAAGCTTTTAGAAATATTATTAATTAAGAGATCACGTTCAACAACTTCCAAGAGTGTTCTTTTAGGCCTTCTTCTACCTCTCTTAATCG